AGTTGAAACCTAGTAAATGTCAATTGCTCATTTCTGAAGTTAAAATTTCCAGGACATGTGATGTCTGCTCAGGGAACTGCTGTTAATCCAGAGAAGACCAGGGCACTGGAAAATTGGCCCAGACCACAAAGTCTAACTGAAGTCAAGAGAATGCTTGGTTTTATAAGCTACTACTGAAGATTTGTTCCTGGGTTTGTGAAGATCTTCTATCCTTTGAATTAGCTAGTGGGGAAGCTCAAATGAGGGGCTAGGGTAGTGACTTTTGAGTGGACACCAGAGTGCCAATGAGCGTTTGAAGAGTTGAAAAGGAGACTGATGACTACTCCAGCATATCCAGATTTCAAGCTGCCATTTATACTGACTGCTGATGCTAGTTTCTGTGGCTTAGAAGCCATACTGAGCAGGTACAGGAGGGAGTGGAACAAGTGAAAGCATACACTAGTAGGTGATTCCATAATTACAGCACATTCAAGCTGGAATTCCTGGCTTTAAAGTGGGCTGCTATGGAGAAATTCAAGGAGTATCTGATGTGTAAAAAGTTTACTATGAAGACAGCTCACAATCCCCTCAAGTAGTTAGACTCAGCAGATTTGCATGTTATGGAACATCCATGGCTGGCACAACTCACTGAATTAGATTTTGAAATCTGTTACAAATCAGAAAAAGTGAATGGACATATGGATGAACTATCCAGATTGCCTGTATGGAATGAACCCAAAGGAAAAGATCAGCAGCATGATTTTATCCTCATTAAACCTGAAGAGGTGTGGTCTAGTTTATGGATGGAAAAAGGGTGAAGAGAACTCTCAGGAAACAAGAATGGTGGGATTGTTCTGTCCAGTAAGTTTTACAGGATGTCAGTTTTTCCCCTAAGGCATTGCGAAGAATGTAGATGAAGGATCTGGACGTTGGTCCTGTTGCTCTTACTGTGGTGGAAGAGAAAGACCAAGATAAATGTGATGCTCTCAATCTTGAGAGAAAGAAATGGAGGTGGCAGCAGAACAGATTGGTTTTACATTGAGGAGTGCTATATCACCGCCTGACATGCCCTTGGGATGGTGAGTGTTTGCTACAGTTGATAGTGCCCAGACAGCTCTGAAGTGAGATACATGAAGCTAAACACAATCATGGAAGTCACTTTGAAGGAAAGGGTACTTTAGAGATCACAAAGTGGAGTTATTATAGGAGTGGTGTGACTCGAGATGTACAGAACTGGATACAACAGTGCAAGAGGTTTCCTCAAGAGAAGGCGGCCATAATTTGTATGACTGTATCAGCACCTTTAGAAGTGTTAGCAGTGGACTATACACTGTTGGAATCCAGTACAGTGGCAGTGCCTACCAGAAATCAGACTGTCTACACATCTGCAAAAGCAATCATGAAAAACTGGTTTTAGTATTATAGGTGTCCTGCCAGGCTACACTCAGATAAGGGGAAGAACTTTGAAGCTGGAGAGATCCAGCAACTATGTCACCTATATGGTATATCTAAAAGTCACAATACCATATCATCCTCAGGGAAATGGACAATGTGAATGATTTAACCGAACTATGAATGAAATGTTGAGGATGGGGATGAATGGGGAAGAGATGGCCAGCCCTCTGTGGAGATAGAGGTGGTTAGGGACTATTTAGAAAAGCTGGACGTGCACAAGTCCATGGGGCCGGACGAGTTGCATCCGAGAGTGCTGAAGGAATTGGCGGCTGTGATTGCAGAGCCATTGGCCATTATCTTTGAAAACTCGTGGCGAACCAGGGAAGTCCCGGATGACTGGAAAAAGGCTAATGTAGTGCCAATCTTTAAAAAAGGGAAGAAGGAGGATCCTGGGAACTACAGGCCAGTCAGCCTCACTTCAGTCCCTGGAAAAATCATGGAGCAGGTCCTCAAAGAATCAATCCTGAAGCACTTGCATGAGAGGAAAGTGTTCAGGAACAGCCAGCATGGATTCACCAAGGGAAGGTCATGCCTGACTAATCTAATCGCCTTTTATGATGAGATTACTGGTTCTGTGGATGAAGGGAAAGCAGTGGATGTATTGTTTCTTGACTTTAGCAAAGCTTTTGACACGGTCTCCCACAGTATTCTTGTCAGCAAGTTAAGGAAGTATGGGCTGGATGAATGCACTACAAGGTGGGTAGAAAGCTGGCTAGATTGTCGGGCTCAACGGGTAGTGATCAATGGCTCCATATCTAGTTGGCAGCCGGTATCAAGTGGAGTACCCCAAGGGTCGGTCCTGGGGCCGGTTTTGTTCAATATCTTCATAAATGATCTGGAGGATGGTGTGGATTGCACTCTCAGCAAATTTGCGGATGATACTAAACTGGGAGGAGTGGTAGATACGCTGGAGGGGAGGGATAGGATACAGAAAGACCTAGACAAATTGGAGGATTGGGCCAAAAGAAATCTGATGAGGTTCAATAAGGATAAGTGCAGGGTCCTGCACTTAGGACGGAAGAACCCAATGCACAGCTACAGACTAGGGACCGAATGGCTAGGCAGCAGTTCTGCGGAAAAGGACCTAGGGGTGACAGTGGACGAGAAGCTGGATATGAGTCAGCAGTGTGCCCTTGTTGCCAAGAAGACCAATGGCATTTTGGGATGTATAGGTAGGGGCATAGCGAGCAGATCGAGGGACGTGATCGTTCCCCTCTATTCGACATTGGTGAGGCCTCATCTGGAGTACTGTGTCCAGTTTTGGGCCCCACACTTCAAGAAGGATGTGGATAAATTGGAGAGAGTCCAGCGAAGGGCAACAAAAATGATTAGGGGTCTGGAACACATGAGTTATGAGGAGAGGCTGAGGGAGCTGGGATTGTTTAGCCTGCAGAAGAGAAGAATGAGGGGGGATTTGATAGCTGCTTTCAACTACCTGAAAGGGGGTTCCAAAGAGGATGGCTCTAGACTGTTCTCAATGGTAGCAGATGACAGAACGAGGAGTAATGGTCTCAAGTTGCAGTGGGGGAGGTTTAGATTGGATATTAGGAAAAACTTTTTCACTAAGAGGGTGGTGAAACACTGGAATGCGTTACCTAGGGAGGTGGTAGAATCTCCTTCCTTAGAGGTTTTTAAGGTCAGGCTTGACAAAGCCCTGGCTTGGATGATTTAACTGGGAATTGGTCCTGCTTTGAGCAGGGGGTTGGACTAGATGACCTTCTGGGGTCCCTTCCAACCCTGATATTCTATGATTCTATTCTATGATTCTATGATGCTAATACCAGAGAGGAAGATAAACTGGAATGGGTATTTGTGAGTTGGCAACAGCCTACAATGGGCATATATGCAATTCCACAGGGTACTCTCACCCTTTAATTAATATTTGGCAGAGATTCTCATTTACCTCTGGATCTTCAGGTAGAGACCACAGAGCCAACTGAAGCAAGAAACCTGGAGGAGTGGTCTGAGAGCAACACAAAAAAGTTGAAGGCTGCTGTCATGACCAGGATGTGGGTGGTCTGACCTAGTGGGCAGAGCAGGAGTCAGGAGTCAGGCTGGGTCAGATCCCAGGAGGTCAGAGCCTGAAATAGGCCAGAAGGCAAAACCAAGAGTCAGGTGTCAGGCAGGGTCAGGTTACCAGATCAGAAGCAGGACACAAACATGAGAGCAGAACCATGGATCAATAACTAGAGTTGGAACAGGTCAGGATAACAGCAAATCAAGCCAGGAGAGCAGGAGCAGGAAGCACAAGGCACACAGTCCAGGACAAGGTGGATCCCAGTTCCATGGACAACTTCCTGTTCCTGTGCTGAGTTTAAATAAAGGCTGTGGACCAATCAGGGCCCCTAGTGTTCTGCCAATCAACTCCCAGGACTGGGGTCTTCTATCTGAGTTCAGCTCCTATTCTGACAATAGTTAGCAGGTCCCTGGGTAGCAGGTTGAATCTGCTAGCTCTACAGAGCCCTGTGGACCAGGATTCAAGACCCATGGACTCTGACATCTGGGTTTGTGGGAAGTCCCTGCTCAGTTGGTCTGCTGTTGTGTTCTGACATCCTGGCAGATAGGATGCAGAAACATCTATATTGTTGGTGATGCACCAATTCCAGAGGTGTATTGCCTCTGTGCACAGGGGGTATGATGGCGCTCCCGCTTGGCGATTTGTATAGAATATGCATGCTATATTGTCCTTAAGGATCTTAATGGTCTTGTTCTGGATTAAAGGGAGGAAGTGCTCGCATGTGTTTCAGACTGCTCTTAGCTCCAGTATGTTTATGCGCAGGTTGGATTCCACTGGAGATCAGTGACCCTGGATCATGTTGTCGCGTAAACATGCCCTCCCATCCTATGAGGGAGGCGGCTGTTGTGATTGTTATTATAGGAGCTTTCTGTTGAAAGGGGACACCTGAGCAGACGTTCTTTGGTTGTGCTCACCATGTGAGGCCTTTACCCTGTGGCACATTGTGAGATGTCTATTGAAAGAATGTTTGTGTGGTATATAGATGATTCGAAGTCAGGCCTGTAAGCATCTCATGTGGAGCCTGGCATATTTTACGACAAACGTTGTCGCAACCATGTGCCCCAAAAATTGTGAGCACTTTCTGGCGGACATTTGTGGGCTGTCTGTCACTTTTGTAATCAAATTGGCTAAGGGAGAAAGTGCTGTTGGAGTATCCTCACTGTCACTGTGAGGCAGTTGAGGTATGCTCCCATAAATTCCAGCTGTTGGACAGGAACCACGGTGGACTTCTGTGCATTTATCTGTAACCCAAGATGTGTGAACAGAGTTATCATGGTCTGTGTGGTGTTTATTGCTGCCTGCTGCATTGATGCCCTTAAAAGGCGGTTGTCTAGGTATGAAAAAATCATCACCCCCTGCCTGTGGAGTTGAACTGCAATGACAGCGAGAACCTTGGAAAATACCCTTGGGGCGGCTGACAGGCCAAAGGGTAGCAGTCTGTATTTACTTGATTTTTTTTTTTAAAGAAAAAAAAACTAATCTCCCCCCCCCCCCGGCCCTTTCTTTTCACCCCAGCAGGTCCCCAGCTTTGAAAGATAACAAGAAGAGAGAAACAAAAATGGGTTTATTTCTCTTCTTTCTTCAAAACAAATATCCTCTCAGGCATGCCTGACTCTCCTGGCATTAAATGCTCCTGCCCTGCAGACTTTCGATACCAGTTTTGGACTCATGAGTCAAATAACCTCTCCTTCCAATACTAGTTGTTGTTGTTGGGTTTTTTTCCTCCCAGAGAGCACAGAGCTATCCTCGGCATAAAATTTTATTGTTGGGGAATTATACAGAGTATAAGACTTAGTACAGTTATTTGTCAGGACTTCAAATAGCTAAAGAATTCACAGCACAATGAAGCCCTAGGTGACAAATTAATTTCTTGCAGAGCCCTAAATCTCAAGCTGATATTCTAGCTTAAACTGCATACATGGTTTAAAATGGGAAAGGTTAAATTTTCTGAGGGCACACTACTTAAATCCACTGTTTATTCTACATATAAGAACACTCAGAGATGGTGGAGAGTTAGCCCACGTGAATGTGCGTTCTTCATGGTACAGGAAGTGCTAGAAACACATTCTAGCTGTATCTCCAAGCAATGGTTTGGATTATTCTTCTGTTTTGTTCTAAAGTAGTATCTAGGTCAAACAGAGTAGGAGCAATAATCTACCATGATGGGAACATTTAGTGGGCCTGATCCACAATCTCTCTTCTCTACTGTTCCGAACTCTTATAATGAGAGATCAGGTATCTGGAATTAGTTTGGAAATATTTTTGCAATAATAAAGGTCTGGAAGGGAACAGAAAGCATAAACTCCAAGAGAAGAAATCTCTCTTCAGTAAATACCTCACATCAAGCAGCCTGCCGGCTCACATGGGACACAGTTTTAAATCAGCAGTACCGCAATATTTCCCTTTTAATACTCAAGCAGTGTTCATAGATAAATTCCCATTGGACCTATAGACCCTGCAGAGTTAAAATTCAGCATTTTCCCTGAAACATTTGCGAAGAGGTAATTAGTTTGTTGATTTTTTTTTTTTTTTAAATCTGTCCTTTATCAAATTCATTGCAAAGCTAGCTCTCAGTTGCCATGGTCACCAATTGCCATGGAAACTATTAGATACAGTTATATTTTTAGACTATATTTGTTAGTATGCCACATTGTGCAAATCAGAGCAATGATGCTGAAATACCAAAAAGCACTTCACAATGCATATAATAACCGGAAACAAAGCCACGTACAAAGCTGCTCATTGAAAAGACGGCCACACTGCCACAGTCTGACTGGGCAGTGTAGGGACCTGAAAATGGATATTTTTCCAACCCCACATTCCAGGAGCAAAGCCAATTTTCCAAGCAAGAGATTAATGGCAATTCCACTTGATGTTTCTCCATTAAAGCCCCAGCTGTTTCACAACTTCTAGACAAGAAACAATTTCACCCTCAAAGGTCCAATCTTCATATGAAAAGACTGACTTTCAACCAGTGTTGAATATATAATTCCAAACTAGTCCCTGCCAGCCACTTTAGCAGATCTCCTATCTCCACTGATTCAGTTGCTGTATTTGCACTATCTGGTGGACAAAAACCAATGCTAACTTCACTTCCACCAACTTTTTAATACCTGATCCTTGAGTTAAGTCAGGGAGTATCTTCTCAAACTCAAGCCTCCTGCTCCTCAGGTGGGCTAACAAGAGCTTTTTAATGTTTTTCCATAACAGAGTGAGAAGACAGCATTGACAAAAGGGTGAATCCAAACCATTTACTGGTATGCTGTGTCTCATTCAGGCACTCAGTTAAATCTTTTCTGTTACCTCTCATATTGTCAAAGCCGTCACAGAAGCAGTATTTCTCCATATCTCCCCAGTTCTGCTGTGGTTCCCCTTGGGTTTTGCAACACAAGGCATACCCTCCTGGAGAATAACACTCTGGAGTTTAGACATGATTTTGATCAAAATAATTTATCTCCACTTAAAATGTTGGCAAAAAATATTAAAGGGGAAAATAATCACCACAAAATTAAAATAGTGGAGTCTGTCAGCTTAAAAGGTAGTCATAAAAATAGCAACAAGAACATAAAAATTGTGATCTACTTAAGATTTAGACATCTCCTACCCACTAAGTGAAAGGGTATTAAAACAAGAGACAGTTTGTGCAGATCCTTCAAGGGTGTTAACAAAAAACACTGTTGCAAAAAAAGTGAACAGCATTCTGGGATATATCAGCAGGAGCGTTGTAAGCAAGATACTAGAAGTAATTCTTCCTCTGTACTCCATGCTGATAAGGCTTCAACTGGAGTATTGTGTCCACTTCTGGGCACCACATTTCAGGAAAGATGTAGATAAATTGGAGAAAGTCCAGAGGAGAGCAACAAAAATGAATAAAGGTCAAGACTGAGGGAGGACATGATAACAGTTTTCAAGTACATAAAAGGTTGTTACAAGGAGGATTGAAAATTGTTGTTGTTAACCTCTGAGGATAGAACAAGAAGCAATGGGTTTAAATTGCAGCAATGGAGGTTTTGGTTGGACATTAGGAAAAACTTCTTGTCAGAGTAGTTAAGCACTGGAACAAAATGCCTAAGGAGTTTGAGGAATCCCTGTTACTGGAGGTTTTTAAGAGCAGGTTAGACAAACACCTGTCAAGAATGCTCTAATTATTACTTAGTCCTGCCTTGAGTGCAGGTGACTGGTCTAGGTGACCTATGGAGGTCCCTTCCAGTTCTACACTTTATGACTCTGATATTTTCAGAATTATTCTCCATCCCATTCCTTATGCATCCTAACATTGTAGGGGTTGGTGGGGTTTTTTTTTTATCTGCACGTTGAGTAAAGGTCTTCAGTGAGGCTATCCAGTGTTGCTTCCCCCCAGGTTATTTCAGTTATGTTAGAACCTGGTAAGGTATATGCATAGTTTAAATTATTCCATCCAACGTGCATTACCAAACGATGCTGCCGCAGTTCTCTTCACTTTTGGTCTCAGGAATTGGCCTTGGAGAGCATACATCCAATACCAATATTTCTCTGCTGTATAGCAAAACAGGCACTCCCTGCCCCAGGAAATAGACAAACTCCAACCCATAACACCTGCATGGCATGGGATTGCAAAGCTCTTCCATCCTCAGGAACAAGAATTATATTCTGGTCTCCTGCATGGCAGTACAGAGCAGTCTAGCCCAAGGCCTTGCCCTGAACAACAGAAGAACATATTTTAGATTGCATTAATGTTACTAAACCATCATTAGACTTTAGAAGACTGGCATTTTCCAGCCTGCCGGCCAAATCAATAATTACAAAGGTAATTGTGTATAGATGCTTAAGGGTTAATTTCTGTTAAATCATTCATTGTAGTTGAACTGTAACACTACTGCTTATGGCCAGACACTTGCTCATTCTTCTTGACTCTACTACTCCTTGAGCTTGCCGCAGAGAAAGAATTCCCTATCTCTGTACGTCTTTGATGGGATTCAATTCAAACTAAAGGTATTTCTAACACTCCTATTAGAGACATTATTTCAGAGAAGGGTTGCTTGGGGAGTTTAGCATTAGAGGAGGCTCAGGCCGTTACATACAATAGACTTGTGAATGTCCAACCTAACTCCCACCTCCTCATCCTTGCAGATGGTTGGTAGCCCTGCAAGGGCATTAACCACACAAGGACAGACGTAAACAGAAAACTGTCTTATCTTCCAAAGGAAGTATTTGCAACAAGTAAATTTTCCCCCAAACCAAAAGTCACTACGGGAGATGCCATGGACATATGCTGATGCAAGAGAGTTACTTAAATTCAGCTCTGGGCCCAGCCTGAAACCAGGTCTTGCAGAATAAATGATGGAGAATCCAATGAGAACAGAACATCAGGATTAAGGTTAGCCTCCAGAAGATTGAACTTGGATTCTCATAGTGAAATGGGCATCAGTGGGAGCCTGGCAGTGGGTGGCGGTGAATCAAGGAGGAAGAGGATAAGCCTATGTGCAGAATTTGCACTAGCCTCTATGTCTCAATACCAAACAAACTGTATTAAAAGTGGGATTTTGTCCTGGTATCCAGCAGACTGGACATGCTTCAATATAAGGAAGGATGTGAGAAATGGACCTAGGACATGAGAGGATACAAAGTGAGCAGCACAGGAATTCCACGGAAGGAAGAGCGTTTGTGCACAGAGAGCTTATGAAAAGGTTTTGGTGATAACAGCACAGATTCACATTTACCAACAACATTAAAAAGAAACTGAGGCAGATGTGGATTTTTGTCTACATTCCATATTATTTCTGATTCCAACTCTTCACTGCAAACAGAACAGTGGCAGTTTTGCTATTTGACTTTGCTACACTTGTTCAAACATGAGTCATCCTCAGAAACCTAAAGCTCAAGCGTTACAATTCATCATTTTGGCCCCAAATACAGCTGAGGGTTTCCCAGGAAAAAAATCCATTTCTCAGCCTAAGGTCGTCACTGGGCATTCACTCCTTTCAGTATTTGCCCCATATGTATTTACTACTTAGAGTGACAGAAGAGACTAACACCACCCTGCCCTTCCTGAAATAATCAGAGGTGTTGTGGGTAGTCAGGATCTAACCTGTGGGCTGCAGCGTGGAAGCTGTGCTTGAGGCTCAAACTGATTCAAATACATTCTTTGGACATACCTTTACAATTTGTGTGACCTATATTCTCTCCCCCCCCCACCCTACGTGAAAAGGTCTCAGCTGCTACAGAAAGTGGAAGGATCGCTCAGTCACCATACAAACCAATTGTTCCCAAATACACATTGCTCTGGACACCTCTTAAGACCTCTCTGGGACCCCTTGGCCTTGAGTTTAGAAGTCTCTAGGGACCCCTGGGATTACTAACATTTATAAACAATATTTATAGAAATCTTACAGGAAACTGTAACACAAGCCTTCCTGAATCTTTGCATAAACCCTTTTCTGGTGAGACAGTACCAGAGGCTCAAGAAGTAACACTGATGGGTGTACATGCACACTCTCTGGAACACTAGCGATGAGCATGCACACACACACACCAGCTCTACGCACTTACACCAGAGACACTCATACGTAGCTTCAGAATGCTAACACCATCCCCTGCAGCTGTTGAGCTTCCAGAAGCCTGTTTTACACACAAAATCAAGAAGTTACATGGTATGTGGAGTCCCAGTAGCTTGGAGATGTGGTGAGGAAAGCTAGGATGCATCCCAGGAAGAGGGATGGTTTCTCATGGAGTGTGATACAGCATTTCCCCATTAGGCAGCAGCAGATTTTCCCTCTCAGATGGATGATGGTACAGTATTCTCATTAGGGAATAGAATGTGAATATTCTTGGCAAGTGAGGTAGGGAGTTTACTCCTTAGGCAGCAGACCATGTTTCCTATACTACATGTGGGTCATGAGGGCTTGGATTTTCCCCATCAGGCAATGGGACATTGGTTCTCAGAGTTTCACAAGCATGGGGTATTGCATTTCCTAGTTAGGCAGCAGGACATGGTGGTTTATGGGATGTTTTGTGGGCCAGCATTGTGCTCCATATTGTACAGAACATCACACAAAGGACGTCTCATAATTTAAGATGACAAGCTTAGACAAGAATTAAAGCTCAAAAGCACAAGTGGTGGGAACTAAGTGTTCTCAGGAACAATAGCTCTTCAAGGAGCGGTGGTAACATGGGTGGGGGCCTTGTGGAGGAAGTACTCTCCCAACAGGAATATGGAAGGAGAGAGGCATTCAGATACTATGGTGATAAGGGCCATATAAATAGACAGATGGGTGGATCTTCTTGCATCAGGATGGGGAAGAGGAGCACTCTTTGAAAAACCCTTTTCACCATCAGAATGACAATACTGATACCCCTACCAACAAAAAGAGTGAAAATCTAAAAAAACCCATCCACAAACCAAAATCTTCCACCCTCCAATCAGAGTTTTTAGTTAAAAAAAAAAGGGGGGGGGGAGATGCCAGAGATTCCATAAAGTGCACTAGGACCTTTGCTATCAACAATAATTTTATGTGGAAGGTGCTCAGATACAACAGCGATGGGCAGCTATATAAAACCCTAAGACAGACAGACATAGCATTTCCTCCTCCTCAGTCTGCAGCAGAACTTGGTATGGGAGCAGGGACAAAGCATGGCAGTTGGAATGGTACAACTTTCCCTTCTTACGCAGCAGGATGCAAGATCACCATGTTTCATAAGGAAAAGAAAACATGGCTCAAGGTTTCCTTCTCCAGCAGCATGACATGGGCTCTTGTGGTGGAAATATGGCAATTCCTCTTTATGTGAGTAGGAACCACAAGTGAAGCTGCCTCCAGTGCAGATTTCATGAACCTAATGTGCTATAGCTTACTCATCCTATGAGTAAGGAACACCTGAGAGTCATTTCTTCTCCTATCATACCACTTACATCTCTGCATCTAGGCATATAAGTAACTGGGTGTAGGGGTGTTATTGAGTGCAATAAGTCTTTACTTTGCAGCAGAACCTAACATATAACAATTCACCTGCAACATTCTGAGCCCTGAGAAAACCACTGAATGTGGGGCAGTCTCAGCATTTTCTGCCACATAATGGTGTTGTAGGCACAGCAGCTAGGAAGCATGTTACTGAAGCAGCAAGTGGAAAGCTTTCATTAAGGGAAAGAGGTTATACACACTGCTACCCATCCATACTTAAAACCGTGGCTGGGAACGGATTGTAAACTGTCACATGGGTGTTTAATTAGATTTTGATCTACCTGGTCAAAGCCTTTACATCCCATATGAAGATCAGGCCTAGCCTCCCTCTGGTGCTCACTTTGGAAGCTGACAGCAGGGCACATTGGCCATGCTGAGGTTTTATTCTTGCTAAGAATAAGAGTCATGTTCTGCTGCCTCCTGGCCCAGGAGATAGGGAACAAGATGTGGAGTTCAAGAGACCTGGGTTCTATTTCTGGCTCCACCATGGTCTCACACTGTGACCTCAGCTAAGTCATTAAACCTCCATGTAAAGTGGGGACAGGAATACTGACTCACCTTTGCTGACAGCTTGGAGATTAATGATTGTGTAGTGCTAAATATCAACTTTGTTTTCTATTAACCTAGCACAGGAAGTCAGAAGGAGACCAGGCCCCTGAGGCTGGAGCCCTTAAAAGTAACCAAAATCCCTGCTTTGGAAGGGCAGGGGTTGGCGGCAGCAAGCGAGAGACAACAGGAGCAGCACTAATTGCTGAGTAGTGCTAAGAGCTCAATAAAGAGAAAGAGGCAGAAGATGAATTGCTGACCAATTCACCAGAGGGTCAGTGAGCAAGGGGAGGTAACTTTTGATCCCCAAAAGGTCACAAATCCTTTGCCTAGCATGGATATGGCAATGTTGCCTCACTGCTTCATTCTCCAGTGGGTTGCATGTACCTCTCTGACACAGCATTCCTAATTCTACCTCCCACAGACACATTCAGAGACTAGAAAGTGCATGAGGCCACTGGTGGAAGGAGTTGAGGACGACAGCGTGGTGCTGCTATTCCAGACAATGGAGCTGGTACCACCACTCTATTAATCTTCTCTCTGCACTGGTAGCAAAGTTGCCCTCCATGCCCCACTATTGCCTACAAACTCACGTTTGCAACTATCCAGCCAGGACACCGGTCTCTAGATACCCACAATCTGGGCTTCCCAAGCTGGATCAATAGAGCAGAAAAAGGGTGAATTTTACTCTCAACAGTGACAGTACCTTAGCTGCTATCCCCCTCTGCACTGTCTACAATACATAATTACAGTGATGCTAGCCTGACCTTCAAGGATAAAAACGAAAGACAGCTGCAGAACGGAGATAGTATTTGATAGATAACAAATACTATCTGAATATGAATATGCAATTCATATTCAAAAGGCTATCATAAAGGAATTTTAAGGCTAAAGAGTGAAGCACTCATAGGTCAGAAAATGACAGTTAAGGCTATGCATTCAGCTCTGCCCCTAATGTGGCTGTGCACAGATTACAATGCGGAATTTAATTGCATGATTACATATCAATTTTCCCAGAGATCCACTGCCCCTTTCAACATACAGAATGGATCGTGCAGAGTGAACGAAGCAGCTCTTTCATGCTTATTTTTTATTATAATTGTTCAGTGTGTGGTTCCTTTCCCCATACACTGCACACCAGCCAACTCCTCCACAAAGACAGGAAAGGAGCCTCTGCCTTATTCACTGGATAAACTTACCTCCTTCAGTTCACACTGTCCAGCTTCTGGAGTGAGCAAGGCAGAGGTCTTGTGGAAAGTGATAGTATGAGGATCATGTAATTAGAGTTTGTATGGAAATTAATATGCAATAAAGAGGACAATGGGAGGTTGGAAGTAGAATATGGGCTGCCTTACCCTTGGTATTCCCAGACTTGAGTCCTGCAGTTTTTTAACACAGCATTTGATATCGAGATTTTTAGGTTAAAAAACAAACAAAAAAACTGATGAAATTTGATCATGCAAAGCTACTTACTATATACAGCATAATTGCCCTGTCCTGTCCAATATAGAATAGACTTGGACATGGCACCTTCACAGTCAAGTCTCTTTCCAAATGCACCGCCACATGTCATTCTATATAATAAAAAGTTCCTCTTCACTTTCTTATGCAGTTCCAGATCACAAAACGGTAAGAGATTGTATCCTGAATGAGAATTTCCACTTAGACAGATACACATGCAAGTGCAGTAACAGTGGAACATTGGTAGATAATTATTAAGAAAAAAAAAAATACAATGCACATGCACAAAGTAAGTTTGTAAATCTTAATGCCTCAGCCAAATCAAAGAGGACTTTCACCAGACCACCTTATCTATTACACAGGGCTAACATCCCTGACAAATTACAAGATTCTTCCACAGCCTACCAAAACATCAGAATTGGTCAGTATGCTTGGTGGTGATTGTTTTTTTTTTTTAAATGGCAAAAATTTTATCCCTTCACTCTTTGTATTTGAAAGAGATGAGCTTTTCATAAAATTTATGCCTAGGCCAAGAACAAACGTGCAAAATTTCAGCCCAAAAGGTGGCAGTCTTGACAAAGTTATAAGCAATTGAAGAAAGCTACAGGGGTGTTCCTATACACTGCCTACAACGTAACAACTAGGTGTTTAGGCTAAGAGCTTTGCCATAGTTTTAGAAGTGAGAAAGTAGGCCACAGAAATGGGGGGAAATCCATACTCCTAAAATACAGAGAGAATGGTTAGGGTTACAGAGAGAATGGTCTTTAATAGGCAGGAAAGCTCCTTTGGCAGCTAATCTCAGTGAAAAATCAAGGCCACCAAATATTCATCTCCAAGACATTAGTCAAGTGATAATAGTGATAATGAGGGGCCCTATTCATCTTCTGGATCCCCCCACCAAGAGACGTTAGGAAAGATCTACTGATGGGTACAGGTTAGGATGTGTTCTCACCCAGAGGAAGGGGGAATCCCTTCAGCTATTCTCAACATATTGGTGTCCAGTATAGCTTGCATTGACTCACCTCAAAAGGTTTTTTGTTTTTTTTTAAATGAGAGTGTTACTGACGTCCAACCCCCTCATTACATACCCCATATCCAAATGTATTTCTGGCTTGAATCTTACATGTTGCTCAGGTTCCAGGAGACTGATGGATTTGGCACATTGTTAAATACATGAAGAGTTGTTCAAGGGCTGGAGTGAGATGCAGCAGAAGGATTGATCAATCCCAATACTGAATTTTTCCCCCCAACTGAAGAATGGAGTCCTGGTATCAGGATAATGAAGTTTTCATACTTTAGTTATTTGTAAACTCTCACGCCCTGTGGATTGGCTCTCCTGGAGCCTTCCGAGTTGGGATAGAAGGGCCTCTAGCTTTGTTCCACCTCACACTTATTCAAGTAAGTCTGCAGACTGCATTGAGCCAGGTTTTCCAGTGTCATCTGTTAGAATGAAAGAATTTGTCAGATTAGTTCTTGGGTAACTAGCATCGGGGTGCTGTGGAGTTCAGCCATTGGCTGTGAATGTAACATCCTCACAGTCCACCCAAAGCACTGCCAGGAGAGGCTCATTGGCCCCTGCATTGCCTAACACACACACACTTTGACATCATCCATACAGGAATTGGACTATGGAATCCAAAATAAAATTCAAGCAATTCTGGAGACAGGACCACAAACTCCAGGAGTGCCAAGTAGTCAGTTCTCCAGCAGACACTTGTATATACTCCAGCATGCACACACACTCACTCATGTCCTCCTAGCCACTGTGGAGTCTCAGCTCCCTCCCTGCTCTTCCTTTTCCCTGAAAAGCAAAGAAAGCTGTTCATCCTCACTTCCTGAGAGTCCATCTGCAGCATATGCTGGAACCCGGACACAATCCCACTCGTCCTACAAGTCAATCATGAATGAAACTGGAAAGCATGAGCCACATATTGCTTCAGTCCCCTTCCCTACGAGAATGGGCTTGAATTACGAAGGAACTGGTACCAGCCACTTTGCTACAGGCACTTCCTACCAATAATTCCCCTCAGTAGCTTCAGGAGAATGCCCAGGCTGATGTGAGACATTTTCGGGAGCTCTCCACCCCAAATGGAACTTCAGTGGCCCCATCCTGAATATTTGTTCCAGCCTCTGCACAAGGGATGGCTCTAACCCTAATTAACCAGCAGACCAAATTTGGTAGTGAATCCTGGTCACGTGCCACCTGAGGCACATTGCGCTATGTTAAGAATAATAATAATCAGTTCTTCCAGCAGAGTTTCCCTATTAGGGTTATGCAGAGAGGGGATCCCAAAGCAACAGGCTATGTACAGGTAGATCAACATTCTCTCCAACAGAGAGATTAAGACTAAATAATTCCTGAGGATGTGCATCCTCCACTCCACATGCTGAATCCCTGCCACCCCCTCGCCTTGGAATGAGCTCTACAAAGAAGTAGCTGTTATGTACATGTATCTCTGCTCCCTTCCTTTGGTAAATGTCCCTTCAAAGTGACAGGCAAATCCTGGGACAGATGGGTGAGGGTGTCCTTAGGCTGACTCCCCAGCAGCAATGGAGCCTGCAGCTTTCTTCTTGGGGCGAGCTTTCACACTCTTTAGTGGAGGCTGCAAAAGAAAACAGAGAAACTATCAGTTCATGTAGGGCACAAGTACAGAGCAGAAAGGAGGGGGAGCATAGATCAACAACACAGCAAGGAGGGTTGTCAGAACACAAGGAGTCTATTCAGTCCAATATGCTGACCCCTTAAAACGTGGCTGAAGGGACAAATATCTGACTTCTGCTTGATATTTTTTAACTTTTTTTTTGTCAGTGCCACTGTATAGTCATTAAGTTTTCTGTTGTTTCAGTGGGTCTTTCACACAGCAACAGGGAATGAAAAATATTTTAAACCACAGGAAAATTTAATAGGAAAAACCAAGAATCAGAAGGGGACCTTGAGACTAGGAGTGGTTTGGGGGCAGGAAGGGCGGAGAGAGAGACTAGGTTTCAAATTGATCATTAGTCTCTATTCCAACTTTTCTGGTTCTAAATAGTACCCACAATCCTGCTCTTCCAGAAAGAGAGGCATTAATGTCTTGAACTAGTTTGTACACTCTGCTACAATTGCCTATCTTATTCCAGATCCTTAGAGAGGGGAGTGGTTTCAGTGAGTTGTGAAGACTGACACCATTGACAGAGCTGAGAAGTTGCCCAAAGCATGTTTCTGAAAAAGTGTCCAAGAATTCCCAAAACAAAACAACAGAAATTGGACTTGAAAGTTCTGAAGAAAGACCAAGCAGAAGAAACAAGTCTTCCTGAAAAGACCTTACTTTCTATATCCATCATGAAGCAGCAGAAAAGGGCACAATCCCTATTTCCTTGCCCCCGACCCCCTGCACTTTATAGATCACCCATTAATAGGAGAATTGCAATAGAATCTGGCCCTCCTGCTTCACAGCAGTTTATGCTCACTGTTCTAGGCCACAGGGCCTTTTAGGGAGGAGAGTAGAAGGATCAAGCCAGAAAGCCAGAGAAGCTTCTAGGATCAGAAATCCAGGCAGGTTTCAAGCATCTCATCAGATCAGGCATTTTGCCCAGCAGGTAACTAGACCACCAAGTGGGCAGCATACCCAGTCTTAACATTGCATTAACATTTAAACTACAATGTTACTACAAGTGGTGCAATTAAAAATCATCAATCCATCACTAAATGTTTCAAAGTTTAGGAGCTTGAGTTAGACGGAGCAAAAAATGGCCCCTACCTTTACAAAAGGAAGAAAAAGTATTTATCATTTGTAATCCAAATTATCATGGTGGTGGAGACCTGCAGCAAGAACCCATGCTTGGAAAGTTTCAGCTCAAAAAACAAAAGTTTCAGAGTTATGAGCATCTGAAAAGAGGGGGTTAGAATGGAAACTATATTGAGCATAAATGCACCCAATTCTAGTGTGTGGCTAGGCTTAGAGATGTGATTGAAGGATGGAAGGCATAAGAACCATCCACTCCTATCTGAAAAAAGGCCAAAAGGGGAGTAGCAGGATCAATTTATCTATTTAGGGCATTTCTAAGACTTAAGACACAGGCTGGATCTATCAGTAAAAGTTTCCTGACAGCAACTGTCCCAGAAGTCACCTACTACAGGACAGACCCAACAAAGAAAGTAACAGAACGCCACTAGCCGTCACCTTCAGCCCCCAACTAAAACCTCTCCAGCGCATCATCAAGGATCTACAACCTATCCTGAAAGACGATCTCTCACTCTCACAGATCTTGGGAGACAGGCCAGTCCTTGCTTACAGACAGCCCCCCAACCTGAAGCAAATACTCACCAGCAATCACACACCACACAACAAAAACACTAACCCAGGAACCTATCCTTGCAACAAAGCCCGTTGCCAACTCTGTCCACATATCTATTCAGGGGGCACCATCATAGGACCTAATCACATCAGCCACACCATCAGAAGCTCGTTCACCTGCACATCTACCAATGGGATATATGCCATCATGTGCCAGCAATGCCCCTCTGCCATGTACATTGGCCACACCGGACAGTCTCTATGTAAAAGAATGGACACAAATCAGACGTCAAGAATTATAACATTCAAAAACCAGTCGGAGAACACTTCAATCTCCCTGGTCACTTGATTACAGACCTAACAGTCGTAATATTACAACAAAAAACCTTCAAAAACAGACTCCAATGAGAGACTGCTGAATTGGAATTAATTTGCAAACTGGACACCATTAACTTAGGCTTGAACAAAGACTGGGAGTGGATGGGTCATTACACAAAGTAAAAGTGGCGAAGAGTCCTGTGGCACCTTATAGACTAACAGACATATTGGAGCATAAGCTTTCTTGGGTGAATACCCACTTCTTCAGATGCATGTAGTGGAAATTTCCAGAGCATAAAGTAAAACTATTTCCCCATGCTTATTTTCCCTTGCTACTGTTACTCTCAATTCTTGTCAACTGTTGGAAATGGGCCATCCTGATAATCACTACAAAAGGTTTTTTTCTCCTTCTGATAATAGCTCACCTTAATTGATCACTCTCATTATAGTGTGTATGGCAACACCCATTTTTCCAGGTTGTGTGTGTGTGTGTGTAAAATATGTATCTTCCTACTTTATTTTCCACTGCATGCATCCGGTGAAGTGGGTTTTAGCCCACAAAAGCTTATGCTCAAATAAATTTGTTAGTCTCTAAGGTGCCACAAGTACTCTTCGTTCTTTTTGTCCCAGGGAAGTGGGAGTCTCATTGTTTCGCATCCCTGATCATCTTGGCTAAGAGCTCTGCTGGACCTATCCTCCATGAATTTATCTACTTCTTTTTGAACCCATTTATAGTTTTGGCCTTCACAGCATCCCGTGACAATAAGTTCACACAATGCACAGTCAACCTGTGGAAGTAGTACTTATGTTTGTTTTAAACCTGCTGCCTATTAATACAAGAACCAAGAGTCACCCAATGAAATTATGTGAAGGAATAAACAACACTTCCCTATTCACTTTCTCTACACCATTCATGATTTTATAGACTGCTATCATATCCCCCTTAGTCGTCTCTTTTTTAAGCTGACCAGTTCCATTCTTCTTAATCTCTCCCATATGGAAGCTGTTCCATACTCCTAATTATTTTTGCCTCTCTTCTCTGTACTTTTTTCCAATTCTACTATATCTTTTTTGAGATGGGGGCGACCACAGTTGCATGCAGCATTCAAGGTGTGGGCATACCATGAATTTATATCGTGGCTTTATGATATTTTCCGTTTTATTCTCTGACCCTCTTTGTTGACTTTTTTTTGACTGCTGCCGCACACTGAGCAGATGTTTGCAGAGAACTATCTATGACGACTCCAAGATCTCTTTCTTGAGTGGAACAGCTAATTTAGACCCCATCGTTTTTTATTTATAGCTGGGATTATGTTTTGCAATAGGCATTACTTTTCACTTACCAACACTGAATTTCATCTGGGATTTTGTTGCCCAGTCACTCAGTTTAGCGAGGTCCCTTTGTAACTCTTCACAGTCAGCTTTGGATTTCGATATCTTGAGTAATTTTGTATCATCTGCAAACTTTGCCACCTAACTCTGTTTACCCTCTCATTTATTAATATGTTGTACAGATCCTTAGGGGACCCTGCTATCTACCTCCCTTCACTATGAGAGCTGACCTTTTATTCCTACTTTATTTCCTATCTTTTAACCCTATCTTTTCCCTTTACAAAAGACAAGTTGACTCTTCCTCAACCTATCATGATCTATGCATCTGATAATTCTGTCCTTTACTATAATTTCACCTATGCAAACCAGCTCCAATCAGCCCAAGAAGTCATTTATATACCAGCTCACCTCAGCTTTTGTCACTTTCTTAGGAGCTTTGAGGCTCTGGGTGCGTTTCGGTGTTTTGTCTCCTGCATCCTCATCTGAAGGTTCTGTTCTAGAATCAGACTGGGCCCCATTTGACCTTTGAGACACACTGGCCTCTTCTCCTGAAGAGTAACAGGAAGCAGCTAAGGACGAGAAGAAAACAAAAACATCTTTTATATGTTTCAGTACCGAGTCCATCCAAAAGGGGCTCCCAATCAGGGCTGTCAGGAAGAGACAGAGGTGTCAGCAGCTCTTACTCAGGGCCTGGGGGGATACACCCAAGAGTGTGCAAACATGCCCATAATCTGGGAAGGATGGGGAAAATGTAGAATACTCATGCCCTCTAACCAGGATGGATTGATTTGCATCAAACAATTTAAATCACTGACTTTCATCATGATTTAAATCAGCAAGCAGGAAATCTTGATTTAAATAAACAATTTTACTCATTTTGCATTTTTACCTTTTAGTTATTTTCCTAAAGAGGGGTTGATTCTCATTGACTGAGAACCATTAAAACACAACTGCAGACTAAAACTGGTACTTCTGCTAACAGGAGGATATTCTATAGCTATACAAATTTACTTTAAGCTGCTACAGTTTAAAACATTTTTCAGACTCTTAATTTTTACATTCTTCTATGTTAGAAAATAGTGAATGATGCACTTATTTACTAGAGGATTGATTTTTACTTGCTGTTTTTGTGCATTTTTAATAGAACTTGACACAAATCATGTTTAAGAAAGCTACCTTAAATGTGCTGGATACACAAGAAAAAAGTTTATCATATGTTTTGCATTTGAAACTGATTAAGCAAAGAAGGAAGGTATTATCTGTAATTTGTGAACTGATCTATCATTTCTGTTCACCATGTCCTTCAAGATTTTAGAATTAGTAGAGCTCATACTCTAACCCCCAGTTTCTACTCTTAGATTGGAAAAGGAAAACAAGCTTTCCTGCTTTTGCACTTTCCCATTTTTTTTTTAACCTTGAAGGAACTAGACATTGAACTGCACTCATTGAATAAACCGAAATGAAGAGAATTCTCTTCGTACCTCCAGAAGAGGCTACTACTGAAAAAGCCAGTTTAGTACTTTAAAAAACACTGTGGTTCCACGTGAATAGCCGGCAACTTCCACCAGTTCAGTGATGTGGCATTCTTTAAAACTTTGGTAGTGGACACGTATTGTATGAACATTTTTTCAGGAATTTAAATGACTAATGTCTATATTTACTATAATCTATTAATGTAGGCTGTCATATTTTCAAATTTAATTTTAAATAGATTTATTTTAAAAATAAAAAAATCCAGGGATGACAGCAGATTCATCTGGAAGGGAACTCACTCCAAAAATCTCTTTCCCCCAAATAACAGGCAACTCATACTCCTGTGTTACATGCAGCATTCAAAACATAAAATCTAAAGCTTTGGCAGCACTTACCATTATCTTGAAGCCTCGATACACTACCCTTACCCCTGTTGTTCAGGGCCTCATAGAATGGCCTAACAGGAGTACTATGTACCTGAATCCTCAATGGTTTCAAGACGACTAGTGGAGGTGCGCAGCTGTGGTTTGGGGCTCTGTAGATGCACAGTATCTTCATCCCGGATCAGAGTCAAGTCCTGCATGCTGAAACTCCTCAGCTTCTCAGACAGAACTCCCTGACCCTAACAGGACACAACAGTTAGTGCCATGGATACCCCATACATGGCTTCTGTCATCTCAGATTCTTCACAGAGACAAAATGGAAGGACCGGGAAAATGTCCCCTTCCCCACAAAGAGACTCAAGAGGAAGAGACATGCATGCTCCAGAAGCCAACAGGAAAGAAGATTGCTCCGGGGCAATCTCCCCCTCATTCCCTCCCCAAGCTGAAGTGCTGTGTGAAGAATAATGCAAACTGGAGGAAGGCAGGAGGACAGTGAGGTCAGCAGCACCCACCAGCTTCCCTCCAATCCAACAGGGAATCAGCTGGAGGGACACAGCAACAGGAACTTAAACAGTTTTAAAACAGAATTTGATAAGTTTATGAATGGAATTATATGACATGGTTGCCTTTGATAGCAGGACAATGCACTTGATGACCAAGGAGGTCTCTTTCAATCCTATGTTCCTATGGAAGTTATCCTGCTGGGGGCAAACTGGCATCTCAGAGGCTAAAGAAGTGGATGTAGCACACAGTTGTGTTACCTTTGCAGCTGCAGTAACTGCTGCATTGGCAGCCAAGTTTAAACCTTTCTTGCCAACTCGCATCATGGTTTCATAGCTCTTGTCACGGGCCTGAGTAATATACTCATCAATCTCCTAGGAAAGAAGTGGGGAAACCCAACATTTAGATTCCTGGTTGCAAGCATGGACAGAGTTCCTCCCCATTAAAAACCAAAAGCTCATCAGGCACCTTTCTCCAAGACCAATAGCACCAGCTACTGGGCATTACTTCTGTCACTCACAGCAGGCTTGCACCCAGTGGAGGGTTGCATTTGTAACTTGTCAAAAAGCAGTGAACTATATCTAATTTACATAAAATGGAGCAGAGCAGTGCCCACCAATAATATGAAGTTGCAGCCTGCACAGGCTACAGGTTCTAGAATGCATGGCTTCCATCTTGATTCAAACAGTCTAGCTGCTGGAGCAGTCCATGTGGGAACCCATCACATCTGCAAGCCACACATCTATACTAAAAATTACAGCTACTACAGGTCACATTGCAATACTCCACAGGGTGCACTTTGGCCATCTTGCTTTAGAGAAGTAGGCAGCACAAATAGACTTGATGCCTCAGGATCTTTATCATGGTCTAAACGGGTCAAAAGTCACCCAACTTCCAGGGCAGGTCAATAGCCATGGCAATAGAAAAGTACCTTCTCTTTATTGGAGAGCGTTGGGTGCACAAACTTCCTGTAGAGGACGCTGGAGCCCTTGGTGTAAGGAGAGAGCAGCCAAATCACAAATGCGATTTTCAACTCAAAATAAAACGGAAACCTGAGAGAGATGGAGAAGCTGGAATTAAGAGCAGGTCAGAGACAGATACAGATAGTCCAAAGTGGAAAACAGATAGGATTAGTAAAGAGAAGATTCGGAAATGGAACAGAATCAACATGACAAGGCCAGCAATGGAACAGAGCCCTTCCTGAAGCTCTGGGACACACCTCTTGGAGGCCTCTCTGGGTATGTCTCCATAGACTTGGGTTTGTAGCTGTGTAGACAGCATTTGTAGTTGTGGCTCAGGCTGGAGCTCAGGCTCTGAAGCCCACCAGGCATTTATGGCTAAGTCGAAGCTTCCAACCACAAAGGCTACAAAAAAAGTCCTTTCGGGGAGAGGACCCTTCCTCCTGTACCTCACAGCAGCTGATCCTAGAAGAGTGTCTGAGAGCTTTCCCTCCTTTCCCCATATGGAATGAACAGCCAGGATACTCACCAGGAAAGAACAATATCTGTGAGTGTTTCTGCTGTGGTGAAGAAGGCAAACACAATCCAATACATCATCCATTTCACCTGTAAAAGGACAGCTATTCCATTAGAAACCAAAAAACACGAACACTAGGATGCAACCCAAAAACTGGGATTCTTTCCTTGTCAAATGACTGGTCACCTTAAGATGTTAATTTTATCCTAAGGATGAGGGTACGTATCAGTAATTTAGGACAGAACACATTAAATGGATGTCATAATTATGCATAAAACATGAAATAATGAACACAGGAAATTGTCAGCTAAGGTTAACCTTAAAAAAAAATATCCAAACAAATTAAGATATGCAAATACATAGCTAGGAACACCCAAACAACCTTAACTCTATTTTGTAGTAACACCATGAAATAACCAAAGGATTACAGCATTTTAAATTTTGTAGTCCCAAACTAGAATAAGACTCGTTGACTGAACATTAGATTTTTCTTTTTGCCACAAATCACAACATGTTTGGATTTCCTTCTAATTTTAACTTTGAGCCTGAATTTCCTGGATTTGTCATGCTTGGAGATATGTACAGTACTACAGGCATGTTGCTACTCTTACTCTAAATTACCGATATGTACTCTAAACCTTAATTCCATCTTTGATGTAGTTTGTTTGGGAATTTTCATTTTAATTAAAAGTTTTATAAATGAACATTGAACAAGAAACCCATAGAAACTATTACCATGTGATATTTCTGGTGATTTTTTTTTTATTATTTTAAGTTTTAGGGACATATTTCTTTGTGGATCCTGACTGCTTTTTGACACTCTGGAGCTAACAAATTTTCCCCTCCCTGCTGAATTTGGTGCACTGGGTAATTTTTGAAAAGACATATTTAGGATTAACTATCACTTTTTGGTGTTATTCATAACTGAAAGAATATCTGTTAGAGACTGAAGAATAAAGTTTTCTCCTTCAGAGAAATTCCCGAAGTGTTCCCATCTTTAAAAAAGGGAAGGAGGAGGATCCTGGGAACTACAGGCCAGTCAGCCTCACCTCAGTCCCTGGAAAAATCATGGAGCAGGTCCTCAAGGAATCAATTCTGAAGCACTTAGAGGAGAGGAAAGTGATCAGCAACAGTCAGCATGGATTCACCAAGGGCAAGTCATGCCTGACTAACCTAATTGCCTTCTATGATGAGATAACTGACTCTGTCGATGAGGGGAAAGCAGTGGACGTGTTATTTCTTGACTTTAGCAAAGCTTTTGACACGGTCTCCCACAGTATTCTTGCCAGCACGTTAAAGAAGTATGGGCTGAATAAATGAACTATAAGGTGGATAGAAAGCGGGCTAGATCGCCATGCTCAAAGGGTAGTGATCAATGGTTCCATGTACAGTTGGAAGCCGGCATCAAGGGGAGTGCCCCAATGGTTGGCCCTGAGGCTGCTTTTCTTCAATATCGATCTGGAGGAAGGCGTGGACTGCACCCGCAGCAAATTTGAAGATGACAAACTGGGAGGAGTGGTAGATACGCTGGAAGGTAGGGATAGGCTACAGAGGGACCAAGACAAATTAGAGGATTGGGCCAAAAGAAATCAGATGAGGTTCAACAAGGACAAGTGCAGAGTTCTGCACTTAAGACGGAAGAATCCCATGCACCGCTACAGACTAGGGACCGAATGGCTAGACAGCAGTTCTACAGAAGAGGACCTAGGGGTTACAGTGGACGAGAAGCTGGATATGAGTTAACAGTGTGCCCTTGTTGCCAAGAAGGCTAATGGCATTTTGGGCTGTATAAGTAGGGGCACTGCCAGCAGATCGAGGGACGTGATCGTTCTCCTCTATTCGACATTGATGAGGACTGTTTCCAGTTTTGGGCTCCACACTACAAGAAGGATGTGGAAAAATTGGAAAGAGTCCAGCGGAGGGCAATAAAAATGATTAGGGGACTGGAACACATGACTTATGAGAAGAGGCTGAGGGAACTGTGATTGTTTAATCTGCGGAAGAGAAGAATGAGGGGGGATTTGATAGCTGCTTTCAACTACTTGAAAGGGGATTCCAAAGAGGATGGATCTTGACTGTTCTCAGTGGTACCAGATGACAGAACCAGGAGCAATGGTCTCAAGTTGTAGTGGGGGATGTTTAGGATGGATGTTAGGAAAAACTTTTTCACAAGGAGGGTGGTGAAGCACTGGAATGGGTTACCTAGGGAGGTGGTGGAATCTCCTTTCTTCGAGGTTTTCAAGATCAGGCTTGACAAAGACTTGGCTGGGATGATTTAGTTGGGGATTGGTCCTGCTTTGAGCAGGGGGTTGGACTAGATGACCTCCTGAGGTCCCTTCCAATCCTGATATTCTATGGCCCCACACCCTCAGCCAGAGTCCTCACCCCCTCAGGAACCCTAACCCCTTGCCCCAGCTTGTTGAAAATGAGCAAGTCAGCAAGGGTGGAGGAGAATGAGCAATGGAGGGAGGGAGGATGGAGTGGGTGGGACCTCAGAGAAGTGGTGGGGCAGGGGCAGGGGCGTTCGGTTTTCTGCATTAGAAAGTTAGCAACCCTAGGCATTGGCCATTATCGGAAGATAGGATATTGGGCTAGATGGACCTTTGGTCTGACCCAGTATGGCCATTCTTACGTATTCCTACTCTTATTTTCTGATAGATCTTCATAATTAGTTCCTCAATAGCCCCTTGCAAGAGGCTTTATCAAAGCCATTCTGAAAGCTCAAATTAAGTTATACAGTGGACCCTTGCTAGAGTGCGCATCGCTAGAGCGCGGATTCGCATATAGCGTGGTCGCGGCGATGGATTCCAAATTTAAACATTTAAATTAGGATCCATGGTAACGCGGTCCCCACATTAACGCGGTACCACGCATGGATCCCGAACCCCACATTCTAGCGAGGGTCCGGTGTAGTGACAGATTCTCCTTTACCCACTATTCTGTTGACTAAAATTTCTACATCAAAGACACAGTTTTCCTTTAAAGAAACTGGGCTGCTTCATCCCAATCATTACCCCACCAAAAGACAGAAACTGTTGGGCTGCACCAGAATAGATGACTGCACACAACTAGAGGCTGCACTGATGTTAACAGAGTCAACCATCTGTTAACTGCTTGGACTGTTCAGTGCTGCAGAGGCAGAAGGCAATTGCTTGGTGGGAGAAAAAGCCAGGAGGGAAGCTAGGGATCATTGTCTGCAAAAACCAGGGAAAAGGGACAAGCTGAGTTTGCTACAAATTAAAAGAAAAAGCATTGGGCAAGTGGGTGACAGTGGGACAAGTAAGGTAAATCGGCCATGTAAGACAGGAATACAAAAAAAAAAAAAAAAGTGAGATGAGCACAGGTAAAAATTCTTCTCTTTTCTCTTTCTTTTGCCAATGTCGTCTACTTTTTAGACTGAGCTTTTCAAACCAAGGACTAGTTTTGCATTTTGTTTTAAATAATTGGCAGACTGCTAATTGAAAAGAATAAATATAATTGTGTTCTTTAGAGCACCACTCTTTTAGGAATTTTAAAAATTATAAGCCAAAACCCTATACTATAAACATTAAAGTTGCACAGTCAAACATTTGAAAGTTAGAAAATGCCAGCTATTCAGATTCATAGGGCAACAACAGCACTTCCTAACTTTCAAGTGCTTGACTTTCCAATAACACATTCTTTTAACATACTTTTATAGAATAACAGGTCTCACGCTGGCAATATTAGGATATCCTTGGAATTTCTAAATATTAGAAATGACAATTTCTTAACTTGAAATGTTGCATCCAACATGGGGGAATTCTATATGAAACCTCATCTTGATAGACAAAGAAGAACTGATCAGAGAACTAAAAATTAGTGGTAGCTTAGGTACAAGTGCTCAGGACTTGACCACATTTGTTATGTGCCAACAGACTAAAGTCCAAACCAGTAATACTTAATGCTGTAAAAAGGCACAGTTTCACAAAGCTGAAAATAATTATGAGCCAAATCAGTTGGGTAATAAAGATGGCCACATAACAGTGTTTGGCCCACTGGGTCATCTTCAGTCCATGCATTATGCTTTTCCGGGTTGATGGGTAAACATCCTCCCCATAAAAAGAAAAAAAAGCGGGGAAATGTAGTCAGAAGAGAACCTGAAACATAAGCCCTTGAATCAGAGGCCTTGTATAAGGCAGGACTTGCTCACAAAATCTGGCAAGAACAGGATTGATATTGCAGAAATACACATTCCTAAAAAGTGCTAAGCACAGAGTACTCATGCATCCCAATATCAAGTGGTACCAGAACATCCCAATATCATGGATGGTACAAAAACATTCCCCAAGAATAACAGGAACACACTGACCTCTCCTAAAAAATGAGGTCAGGATAACAGTATGTAATAAAAATGTTTTAATCAAACCAAAATGTACAAGGTAATGGGTAATAACTAGCCACGTCAGGGGCAAGTAACTAACTATGTCAGATTTCAGAGGAACAGCCGTGTTAGTCTGTATTCGCAAAAAGAAAAGGAGTACTTGTGGCACCTTAGCGACTAACCAATTTATTTGAGCATGAGCTTTCGTGAGCTCACGAAAGCTCATGCTCAAATAAATTGGTTAGTCTCTAAGGTGCCACAAGTACTCCTTAACTATGTCAGAGGCAGTAATAACTTGTTTGTATCAAGGTATAAAAATGTATCTCAAAGGAAGTATCTTTGTCCAGCCAAGGGGGGGAATGAAAAGTCCCACCATTCACTAAACTGCATCCACTGTCATGGGCATACATGTCTTAGTATCCTCGTAAAGTCTGCCAGGTGCTACTACCATGCTTTGTCGACAATAAACCTGGCCTAGTGCCTTCGCACCTTAATGGATCTTGTGGTCACTGGGCGGTTCGCTCAAGGTCTGCTGTGCCAGCTGTCTGCGCAAAGCTAGGACGGCACTCAGGCAAAAACACACATACGCAGCCAAACATCTAACCACAAGTACAAAGTACTATACTTTGGAAGGGAAAAAAATCAAATGCACAAATGTAAAATGTTTTTTAATTTATTTAATGTGTGCCATTTAATTCTACATTGCTCCACCACAACCCATTTCTCCCTCAAACTGACACCACTGATGTGGGCTGGATTCAATAGACAAAGCTCCATATAACTTTAGAAGGCTGAAGAAAAATGAGGAGACATTGCAGAACTAGGTCCTGTAGCACTCATTGTTGATACCATTCCTGGCTCTGCAGTTCTGCAAGTAGGAAAACCACAAGTCACACCACAGACATCAACTCCACCACACCAGTGTCCTACTCACCAATGTTGTTGCTCCTCTTAGAGCAGCAGTGAAGCAGGCAAAGAAGAGTAAAGGGGGACTGGATTCCACCCAAATATCACCTCTCCCACTGAGGTGGTGTTCTGAAATGCTCAGAGGAGCACCATGCCTCCAATCAGGACACTCATTGCTTGCTGCTGGAAAGTCCACATCACAAACCACTGAGACACCATGGGCAGAAGCCACCAGGGTGGAGAGACTAAAGAGAAATAAACCCTAAAAGGAAACTGGAGAAAATCCAGCCTGACAGAAGCCTCTTACCATTCAAGAGAAGAAACAGGGCAGAATAAATCATCCGACCTACAAAAGGAGAACTAAAGAAGACTGAGAAGACTGAAGAGTAACAAAAGGAGGCAGAAGAAAAGGGCTAGAGAGCCACAGTTCAATGAAGAGGGGAGGGAAAAACATCTCATCTATTTGGACTTTGAAATGCTTTCAGATTATACCATATTTTCACTCTTTCACCATCTCTCCTGCCAAACTAGATTTAGGATTTGAAAACTCCAGACAAATCAGCTTCTTTCCATGACATCATATCCTTTTGTTCCAAATCTGTCAATAAGCCAGGGTTACATATTAGCCTACAATTTGGACAAATTTGAGCACCTGGATATTTTTAATAGAATTATCTGGACAACTAAATTGTCAACTCTGGAGCTGCTCACCCTTCTTAAAACGATATTGTTCCAAGATGTCTGTCTGCAGAGAATCAGCGTGACATCCATGTATGGGGGCACATTTCCTTCAGGACCAGAAATGTAAGGGGTTTTAAATGGGAACTTAAATGGTGCCACCAGAGAAGTATTGTTTTGATACAGCACTACTTGCCAGCTCAGTCTGGTCCCTGCTGCCAGGGCTTTGCTGTTTGACCTCATTAGAATAGACTAATATCCTCCACCCTTTCCTCCCAGTAAGCATAAGAATGGCCCTACTGGATCAGACCAAGAGTCCATCTAGCCAAGTATCCTGTCTTCTGGCAGTAGCCAGTGCCCCAGAGGGAATGAACAGAACAGGTAATCATCAAGTGATCCAGCCCCTGTAGCTCATTCCCAGCTTCTGGCAAACGGAGACTAGGGACACCATCCCTGCCCATCCTGGCTAATAACCACTAATGGACCTATCCTCCAGGAACTTATCTAGTTCTTTTTTGAACCCTGTTTGAGCTACATGTTCAAGTGCTCAGCACCCATGACTTCAGCCTGATTTTCAGGAGAGTTCTGCTTCCTTATGGGTACCTAAACATAGACCAGATTTTCAAGCTTGCTCAGTAGCCAACTGCTCCCCTGTAACACTTGTAGCCAAAATGCCTAAAGAGCTCAATACCCAATATGCTGAGCTCTTCTGAAAACCTATCCCTTTATTCTGATGCTTAAATGGGAGCTGAGCTCCTTTGAAAATCTGGCCCCAATTGTGTGAGCAGAATTCTGTTGGAAATGTCTGGTAAAGCATTATGGCCAGTAACAGCTAACCTTCACAGGCTTGTGAGGCTGGCATTCTCATTTTACAGATGGGCAAATGGAGATGCAGAGCAGCAAAGTCAGAGGAAGTCAGTGTCTGAACTTAGCAAGGCAGAGTCTGAATATACTCCATCCACACCTAGCCTTGTGGGGCTAGCCTCTAGCTCACCACACACACCCAACATGACAGGAGATATGCTTTGTCCCATACAGAGAAGGAAAGAGGCTGGTCTCAGGAGGGGGAGGATCTTGGGTGGTGTGGTATGGTATTCTTGAAAACAGGATGAGAGTCAGGTGGGGGGGGGGGGGAGGTTGCCAGTGGGAACGCAACATGGCGACTCACACTTACATATTCTTTTACGTTTTTCGTCTTCACAGCCTTGTAAGAGGAATATGCAGGGTATAAAGTGCCAAATATTAGCCTGGAATAAAACAGAGCCCATGAGAACTATTCAGCATTCTTATTCGCTTGATGCTCCTCCCCTCGCGGATCTCAACACCTCATCCTAATTTGGTTCCCTTCCGCTTAGCCCATCCTTTGATCTGAGGAATAAGATTCAGTTATTAGAGTGCTCACAGCCTGCCTGAAGCCGCCTCAGTCTTTCACCCAGGGCAGTTCCACTGGCACCAAACCCTCCTTTTATATCTAAAAGCCTCAGCTCCATGAATTTTCTACCACTGTCTCTCTCTCTCCAGGCCTCTGGCAGCTGGGGATAGTGGGGATTACACCACTATGAAATGCACGTTACAAAGTGATTCACCTCAAGTCTATTCATAAATGTACATTAGTAAAGAATTTTGCAGCATTTCATGCAATGGGCACAGTGCCCAAGTGCTAAGCTGCCACTGCTGACAACCAAGCAGCCGGTTTAATGGGCTAGCTTTGACCTATAAAGCTCACAGCGCTCATCTATTTTCAGGATGACTCTCGTGGGTGGGCTGAGTTCTCTCTCTCGCTCCTACGAGAAGGGGGTGCTGACAGGGACCCCGGCTAAAATTCACCCCCCCCCCCCGTTCCCGAAAAGCCTCCAGAGCCCCCTGCCAGACGCAGCTGGCGCCGGCGGCGCCGGCAAGGGGGCTCCGGGCGGCAGAGCGGCTGGGGCGGTGTCGCCGTGCGCGTGGCGAGGGCTTGGAGCTCTCGAGAAAGAGGCGCTCGCACCAAGCCCACGGAGCCTCCCCACCCCACACAGCCCGGCCTCGCAGCGCCCCGCACGCCCGCCGCAGAGGCTGCGGCCGGCTCCGCAACTCTGACAGGTCCCCAGAGCCGCTGGCTCCGAGGGACCCCGGCCCTGGTGTGCGACCCGCGGCTCCGCAGGCTGCAGGGGGCCGGGAGGCTGCAGGGCCACCCCCGCACTCACACCACGAGCCGGGAGATGATCCACGAAACCATGGCGGAGCCGGGCCGGCTCGGGGTCGAAGAGCAGCGGGTCCGCAGCAGCCGGCTCCGATCGGCCGCGGAGGCTCAGATGTTCCTTAAAGGGCAGGTTCCTGCAGCAAGTATGGCCCCACCCCAGGCTCTTAAAGGGTAGGCCTCGCCGCGTCGGCGGGAAACTGGGACCAGAGCAGCCCAAGAGCAACGTCTCCTCGGTGCGAACCCTGCGCGGCGCGGCGTGTCCCATCTACCCGCCAACCACGCAGCGCCCCCCCGCCCCCGTCACCCTCCTCCGCGCCCCCACACAGCGCCCCCCGTCACCCTCCTCCGCGCCCCCACACAGAGACGCCCCACGTCACCCTCCTCCGCGCCCCCACACAGAGCCGCCTCACGTCACCCTCCTCCGCGCCCCCACACAGCGCCCCCCCACGTCACCCTCCTCCGCGCCCCCACACAGAGCCGCCCCCCGTCACCCTCCTCCGCGCCCCCACACAGCGCCGCCCCACGTCACCCTCCTCCGCGCCCCCACACAGCGCCCCCCCACGTCACCCTCCTCCGCGCCCCCACACAGAGCCGCCCCACGTCACCCTCCTCCGCGCCCCCACACAGCGCCCCCCGTCACCCTCCTCCGCGCCCCCACACAGAGCCGCCCCACGTCACCCTCCTCCGCGCCCCCACACAGAGCCGCCCCACGTCACCCTCCTCCGCGCCCCCACACAGAGCCGCCCCACGTCACCCTCCTCCGCGCCCCCACACAGAGCCGCCCCCGTCACCCTCCTCCGCCCCCCCCCACGCCCCCGTCACCCTCCTCCGCGCCCCCCACGCAGCGCCCCCCCACGTCACCCTCCTCCGCGCCCCCCACACAGAGCCGCCCCACGTCACCCTCCTCCGCGCCCCCACACAGAGCCGCCTCACGTCACCCTCCTCCGCGCCCCCCCACAGAGCCGCCCCCGTCACCCTCCTCCGCGCCCCCACACAGCGCCCCCCGTCACCCTCCTCCGCGCCCCCACACAGAGCCGCCCCCGTCACCCTCCTCCGCGCCCCCACACAGCGCCCCCCGTCACCCCCTCCGCGCCCCCACACAGAGCCGCCTCACGTCACCCTCCTCCGCGCCCCCACACAGAGCCGCCCCCCGTCACCCTCCTCCGCGCCCCCACACAGCGCCCCCCCCGTCACCCTCCTCCGCGCCCCCACACAGAGCCGCCCCACGTCACCCTCCTCCGCGCCCCCACACAGCGCCCCCCGTCACCCTCCTCCGCGCCCCCACACAGAGCCGCCCCCGTCACCCTCCTCCGCGCCCCCACACAGAGCCGCCCCACGTCACCCTCCCTCCGCCCCCCACACAGCGCCCCCGTCACCCTCCTCCGCGCCCCCACACAGACCGCCCCACGTCACCCTCCTCCACCCCCCACACGAGCCGCCTCACGTCACCCTCCTCCGCGCCCCCACACAGCGCCCCCGTCACCCTCCTCCGCCCCCCACACAGAGCCCCCCCGTCACCCTCCTCCCCCCCCCACACACCCCCCCTCACCCTCCTCCCCCCCCACACCCCCCCCCCCTCACCCTCCTCCCCCCCCACACACCCCCCGTCACCCTCCTCCCCCCCCACACAGCGCCCCCGTCACCCTCCTCCGCGCCCCACACCCCCCCCCGTCACCCTCCTCCCCCCCCACACAGACGCCCCACGTCCCCTCCTCCCCCCCCACACAGCCCCCCCCCGTCACCCTCCTCCCCCCCCACACCCCCCCTCCTCCGCGCCCCCACACACCCCCCGTCCCCTCCTCCGCCCCCCACAACCCCTCACCCTCCTCCCCCCCCACACAGAGCCCCCCCGTCACCCTCCTCCCGCCCCCACACCCCCCCTCACCCTCCTCCCCCCCCACACGACCCCCCGTCACCCTCCTCCCCCCCCACACACCCCTCCTCCCCTCCTCCGCCCCCCCACAGCCCCCCCCGTCACCCTCCTCCCCCCCCCCCCTCCTCCCCCCCCACCGACCCCCCCGTCACCCTCCTCCCCCCCCACACCCCCCCTCACCCTCCTCCCCCCCCACACAGACCGCCCCCGTCACCCTCCTCCGCGCCCCCCACACAGCGCCCCCCGTCACCCTCCTCCGCGCCCCCACACAGAGCCGCCTCACGTCACCCTCCTCCACGCCCCCACACAGAGCCGCCCCACGTCACCCTCCTCCGTGCCCCCACACAGCGCCCCCCACGTCACCCTCCTCCGCGCCCCCCACACAGAGCCGCCCCACGTCACCCTCCTCCGCGCCCCCACACAGCGCCCCCCCGTCACCCTCCTCCGCGCCCCCACACAGAGCCGCCCCACGTCACCCTCCTCCGCGCCCCCACACAGCGCCCCCCGTCACCCTCCTCCGCGCCCCCACACAGAGCCGCCCCACGTCACCCTCCTCCGCGCCCCCACACAGAGCCGCCCCACGTACCCCCCCCTCGGTGCCACCACACCGCGGCCCCACACAGCGACCCTCCCCAGGACCCCTCCGTGTGCTCCTCCCAGCGCTCCTCACTCCCTGCTCCCCCACCACCACACAGCACCCCCCCAGTACTCCTCCGCACCACAAACGCCCCCCAACGCTGCCGTACAGCACCCCCATACCCCCACCCCCTTCCCGCTGCCACGTAGCGGCTCCCCCCGGTATCCCCTCCCTGTGCTGCCACACAGCGCACCCCATAATTCCTCTCCGTTCTGCCATAGAGTGCCCCCCCAGTACTCCGCACCACATACCCCCACACACACACGGCCATACAGCGCCCCCTTACTCGCCCCTCCATACCACCATACAGCGACACACACACCCCGGTATCCTCTCCCCGTGCCACCACACAGCTCACCCCCAGTACCCCCATTTGTGCCACCACACAGTGCCCCCCAGTACCATAACCTCTCCGTGTCACCACAGAGCACCCCACACTACTCTACGTCACCACAGAGTGCCCCCGCCAGTACCCTTCTGCATCACCACACAGCGCCTTCTGTACCCTCACTCCCCATGCCGCAAGGCAGCACACCCCTGGTACACCCCTCTGCGCCACCACAGAGCACCTCTCTTTCCCCTCCATGCCACTGTACACTGCCTCTGGTACCATACCCCACTCTGCGCCACCATGCTGCACTCTCCTCGGTACTGTACCCCTCCCCACACCGCCCCGTCCCTCCTCTGGGATACCTATGCCACTCTACCACACAGCACCCCATTCAGCTCCCCCCATACTGCTCTGTGTCACCACACAGCAACCCCCATATCACCCTGTGCTACCACATAGCACCCCTCCCCCTTGGCTATTGTCCACTCCATTGCAGAGCCCTTTCCCCTTAGATACTCCTCTGTGCCACCACACAGCGCCTGCTGCCTTGTATTCTCCCCCCACCCCCGCACCACTACACAGCGCTCCTCTAGGATCTCCCCCCCCATACCCTTCCATGCTACCACACAGTGCTCCCAGTATCTCCCCTCTATGCTACCACACAGCGCCCCTTCGCCCTCTCCGGGATACCATGTCGATGTATACATTTAGCCATATTAAAATGCATATTTCCTTGCACCTAGTTTACCAAGCAACCAAGATCATAGAATCATAGAATATCAGGGTTGGAAGGGACCTCAGGAGGTCATCTAGTCCAACCCCCTACTCAAAGCAGGAGCAATCCCCAATTAAATCATCCCAGCCAGGGCTTTGTCAAGCCTGACCTTAAAAACTTCTAAGGAAGGAGATTCCACCACCACCCTAGGTAACCCATTCCAGTGCTTCACCACCCCCTAGTGAAAAGTTTTTCCTAATATCCAACCTAAACCTCCCCCACTGCAACTTGAGACCATTACTCCTTGTTCTATCATCTGCTACCACTGAGAACAGTCTAGAGCCATCCTCTTTGGAACCCCCTTTCAGATAGTTGAAAGCAGCTATCAAATCCCCCCTCATTCTTCTCTTCCGTAGACTAAACATCCCCATTTCCCTCAGCCTCTCCTCATAACTCATGTGTTCCAGTCCCCTAATGATTTTTATTGCCCTCCGCTGGACTCTTTCCAATTTTTCCACATCCTTCTTGTAGTGTGGGGCCCAAAATTGGACACAGTACTCCAGATGAGGCCTCACCAATGTCGAATAGAGGGGAATGATCACATCCCTCGATCTGCTGGCAATGCCCCTATATAAACATCCCAAAATGCCATTGGCCCTCTTGGCAACAGGGGCACACTGAAAGGAAAGGAGTACTTATGGCACCTTAGAGACTAACCAATTTATTTGAGCATAAGCTTTCATGAGCTACAGCTCACTTCATCGGATGCATACTATGGAAAGTGTAGAAGATCTTTTTATATACACACAAAGCATGAAAAAATACCTCTTCCCACCCCACTCTCCTGCTGGTGACTCATATCCAGCTTCTCGTCCACTGTAACCCCTAGGTCCTTTTCTGCAGAACTGCTGCCGAGCCATTCGGTCCCTAGTCTGTAGCGGTGCATTGGATTCTTCCGTCCTAAGTGCAGGACTCTGCACTTGTCCTTGTTGAACCTCATCATATTTCTTTTGGCCCAATCCTCCAATTTGTCTAGGGCCCTCTGTATCCTATCCCTGCCCTCCAGCGTATCTACCTCTCCTCCCAGTTTAGTGTCATCTGCAAACTTGCTGAGGGTGCAATCCACACCATCCTCCAGATCATTCATGAAGATATTGAACAAAACCGGCCCCAGGACCGACCCTTGGGGCACTCCACTTGATACCCGCTGTCAACTAGACTTGGAGCCATTGATCACTACCCGTTGAGCCCGACAATCTAGCCAGCTTTCTATCCACCTTATAGTCCATTCATCCAGCCCATATTTCTTTAACTTGCTGGCAAGAATACTGTGGGAGACAGTGTCAAAAGCTTTGCTAAAGTCAAGGAACAACACGTCCACTGCTTTCCCTTCATCCACAGAGCCAGTTATCTCATCATAGAAGGCAATTAGATTAGTCAGGCATGACTTGCCTTTGGTGAATCCATGCTGACTGTTCCTGATCACTTTCCTCTCCTCTAAGTGCTTCAGAATTGATTCCTTGAGGAATCACTCTGTGTTGGTGGCCTGTCTTCTTTCTTATTTATCATTCCCCCAATTTTTATGGCATCTGCAAACTTTATCA